GGTCACTCAGGGTCACTCAGGGGTCAGTGGATTTTGGGCCAATTTTGGCCCAATTTTTGTCTGATTTTGCTCAGATTTGGGGCAGATTTTGGCCAAATTTTAGTCACATTTTGACCCAATTTTGGCCAGATTTTAGTCAGACTTTGGGTGAATTTTGGCCAGATTTTGTCCGGATTTTTGGCCCAATTTTGGCCCGATTTTGGCCAGATTTTGGCCTGATTTTGGCTCAATTTTGGCTGTATTTTGGCCATATTTTAGTCAGTCTTTGGGTGAATTTTGGGTGAATTTTGGCCAGATTTTGGCCGTATTTTGGGCAGATTTTGGCCTGATTTCAGCTGGATTTCGGCTGGATTTTGTCAATATTTTGGCCGTATTTTATCCGGATTTCGGCTGGATTTTGGCCAGATTTTGGCCACATTTTAGTCTGACATTGGGAAGATTTTGGCCAGATTTTAGACATATTTTGGCCCGATTTTGACACAATTCCAGCTGGATTTCCCCCATATTTTGCCCATATTTCCCCCATATTTCCCCCATATTTTGCCCATATTTCCCCATATTTTGCCCATATTTTTCCCATATTTTGCCCATATTTCCCCATATTTTTCCCATATTTCCCCATATTTTTCCCATATTTCCCCCATATTTTGCCCATATTTTGGCCATATTTCCCCCATATTTTTCCCATATATTTCCCATATTTCCCCCATATTTCCCCCATATTTTTCCCATATTTCCCCCATATTTCCCCATATTTCCCCCTTATTTCCCCCATATTTCCCCATATTTTCCCCCACATTTCCCCCATATTTTCCCCGTATTTTTCCCATACTTTTCTCATATTTTGCCCATATTTCCCCCATATTTTGCCCATATTTTTCCCATATGTTGGCCATATTTCCCACATATTTTTCCCATATATTTCCCATATTTTTCCCATATTTCCCCACATTTCCCCCATATTTCCCCCACATTTCCCCCATATTTCCCCCATATTTCGCCCATATTTTCCCCATATTTTTCCCATATTTCCCCCACATTTCCCCCATATTTTCCCCATATTTCCCCCATATTTCTC